AAACCTCCTTTTGTTTCATTGTTATGATTTCAGTCCCTTAACATTTCCATTACTGAATCTTTCACAACTTTCACAACAGAAAAATCTGGAAAAAAAACAACAAAAGCAACTCCATTGCCAAATGATGAGATATAACTTTGCTATATAAATATGCAACAATTCTTGAAAAATGTATTTACAGTTTTTTTTAAAGACTTTTCACAGTCTTCTTAGAAGCAGCATTGTCATATTGTCTGTTTTAACTACATGTTAAATGAATAATATTAATAATATAATATGAACAACAAGAGTAAGTACAAGATTACACAGTAAGACATAAACTCTTTATTTCTGATTCACTAAAAAACAGCTCATAAGAGTCAATCGTTCAGGAATCAGACTACTTTGGATGTGATGTAGGCTATGTTTCATTCAATTGGGAATCAGACTACATTGACAGCACTGTACTGTATGTGTTTGATTCACTAAAAAGAACCAGTTCAAAAGAGTAATTCGTTCAGGAGTTATTTGCTCAGGACTACACGGTTTACACTGTATGTTTGTGATTCACTAAAGAACCGATGGATTTGGACAACACTGGTTGCGATACATAGTTTGGATTCACTAAAAAGTTTGACTCAAAATAGTTATTTGCTCAGGAATCAGAACTACACTGTTTGTGCCATATGTTTCTGATTCACTAAAAACAATGGACCCAAACAAGTGATTTGTTTGGGAACTGGACACCACCTGTCATGTTGTTATGTTTTTGATTCACCAAAAAGAATCTACTCAAAATAGCTATTTGCTTTGGATTCAGACCACATCGTTTGCAATGCATGTTTTTGATTCACTAAAAAGTACCAATTCAAAAGAGTCATTTGTTCAGGAATTGGACTACACTGGTAAGCGCTGCATTTGTTGAATTCATAAAAAAAAAGAACTGGCTCATTTGGAATCAGACTACACTGCTCAAGCGTCATCCAGTTCAGTTTATTTTTTTGTAATGGAACGTTTTGAGGAAAATAACAGTTGTTTGAAGAAGCGCCTCAACTACTGGATCCTTGCGGTCTCTTCCAAAACAGCTTGAGTGGACATGGAGCCTCTAGGATTAGCTTTTCCTCTTTCTGAGTGGATTTCATGACTCAAGCCGTGTTCTCTGGGCTTCACAGTCTTCTTCAGACTATTTCTGGCTCTGTGTCACGGTTACAGTTCAGCCGTGACAGCGCAAAGTGGGAACACAGTCAAGTGTCAGAGGCGTATTTTTAGATGTGCCAGCATCACCAATACAACAACTGCATGGCCCGTAGCTTCTTCTCCCTCGACTTAAATTAGTTACTCTGGCAAGGACGACACACAATGACAACACAAGGACAACAGAATGACTGAAGCAAACAGAGCAACTCATTAACACCAACAAACAAGAGGCACCGCTAGGCCTGTCGCAATAATCAATATATCGACTTATCGCGCAATATATGTACAAGACCTCAATAATTTTTGGTGACGCAATATATCGCCCATTATATTTACTTACAAATTAATGTCACCATGTTTTGTACATTCCACTTGCAAAAAGTTGTTATCGTGACAGGCCTAGGCACCGCTAGAGTGCCTTATGTGCATGGAGTAGACTTTTTATATTTCCACATTTGCAGCTGTATCTTAAGTTTGTACTTTCCTCTCAGAAAGGAGAATGCGACACTGGGAAATGCATCAAATAGAGCTTATCTAGTAATCGAGATTAGGGTTGTTCCGATTCCGATACTAATATCGGAAATTCCGCCGATACCACAAAAAATTACTTGAACGAGTACTTGAACCCATGTACCGATCCAATACCATTTTCTTAAACAAGACCTAGTTTTGCACCCGCTAGCTTTGCTTAACGCAGCAAATCGGAAATCAATTCTTCTTCACTGCTCAGAATGCAAACACAGGAAGTTGTGCTGTGTTGCCACAAGCAACCACTATTTAGAGCAGCGAAGAAGAAATACAAACGTGCTAGCAGTATGTCCACGGTTTGGCAGTATTTCAGACTGGACCAACCAGCCAGTAAAATGGCGACATGTCTCATATGCCATACTGCAATTGGGGTGGCAAAAGTATTAGCAACTTTAACACGAGTAACTTAATAAAGCATTTGAAGACGCGTCACCCCGTAGAACACGATGTTTACACAAAAGCTAGGGCAGAGAAGGATGAGCCGTGCCAGACTCAACAAACTTTGGAAGCTTCATTCAAACGAAGAGAAAAGTTTTCACAAGACGAAAACGAACGATAAAGATAACCGACAAAATTATCAAGTTTATTGTTCTGGATGACCAGCCACTGTCAGTGGTCGAAAACGTGGGATTTCGCTGCTTAATTGAACATTTGGAGCCCCAGTACAGTTTGCCTGGTCGCAAATTACATCTCTGAAACAGCGCTCCCTAAGCTATATGAGACAGTGCGTAAACACATTTCATGTAAACTAAAAGATGTGCAATCAGTCAGCTTTACTACCGACATCTGGAGCTGCGACGCGACCCCGCTGTCTTTACGAAGTTTGACAGCACACTGGGTGGACACAGTGACGCCGTCATCTTTTACTCTTCAAAGTGCAGTGCTGCAAGCTAGCGAGTTTCGTGGGTCACACACCGGCAAGTCCATAGCTGAAGCAATTGAGGGGATGCTTGTGAAGTGGAATATCTCTAAGTCCCGTGTTCATGTTATTTTGCGCGACAACGCGAGCAACATGAAAAAAGCCAAGGACGAGATGGGTGTGTCGAGTTTGGGGTGCTTCGCACACTCTCTCCAACTGGTGGTACACGAAGGCCTGTTATCACAGAGAAGTGTGAGTGATGCTCTGGCGAACTGTAGGAAGATAATCAGCCATTTCAAACACTCACCATTGGCCACAACACGCCTGGAGGATATTCAGAGGGATCTAAAAATGCCCACCAAACGTTTGCACCAAGATATGGCGACAAGGTGGAATAGAACTTTTTATATGGTAGAGAGATTACTTGAGCAGAAGCAGCCGATTTCAGCATACGGCGCTGATCACGACCTGCCAACCACATTGACAGCCAACCAGTGGGCTTTGCTGGAAAAAACTGTCACTGTTTTGGCACCATTTGAGGAACTGACCAAACAGATTAACTCCTCCACCTCATCTGTAGCGGAAGTCATCCCCTCAGTTACAGTTTTAAAACGGCTACTTGCTCGGGAGAGCCAGGAGGACACCGGTATAAACACAATGAAAACTACCCTTCTTGAGGCCGTCAAGAAACAGCAGCAGCAGTGAGAGTAGCTTGAAGGGCCTGTTTGAAGAAATCCTGCAGGAGCATGATGAGGAACATGGTGCAGGTACTACAAGCACACATGTTTAACTTCAGACATATGTGGTGGAGCAAACTATCTCACACTCAGACAGCACATTCCAATACTGGGCAGTCAACCAAGTTCGGTTTCCCACTCTGGCTGCCACTGCTGCAAAGTTTCTATGCGCCCCTGGTACCAGTGTGGACAGCGAGAGACTGTTCAGCACAGCATCTAACATTGTGGATGCAAAGAGAAACAGGCTAGGAAGAGAGAGAGCAGAAATGCTAATTTTCCTGAAAAAGAACTTGCTATTGTTATTGAAATTGTGAGCAATACTAAGTTCCCACAGCAGTGTGTAACCTAGTTGTATGTATAATTTAATTCTGGGTTCTCTTGTTGAATCTTAACTTGTTCAGTTGAGGTTTATTTTTGTACTCTATTACTCAAGTCTCTTATTTCACTACACTGTGGCTGCACTTAGTGGTTTTTTTAAAGGACTACTTAGATTGAGTATAAGTTACTGTTGCACTTTTTTGTACTTTTGTATTTAAAACTGAAATTCCTTTTATTTAACAAAATTGTTTCTGGACTTTAAGTTTTAAAGAGATTATTTTCTTATATTATTCATATTTACTTTTTAAAAATATTTTTATATTTATTTGTTGCACTGTTTTTTATACAGTTATATTGTAAAACTAAAATACCTTTTTCAGTTTACAGTGTTAGATTTGTGGCTGCATTTGAAGGTCTTTTTCACTTAAGAAAAATAAATAATATTACTGTCAAATATATGTCAGATAATAAAAATACTCTAGTTCACTGTATGTATTTGTTCATGTTTTATTAAGGGATAAGTCTGAAGCACACAATAAAATAATTCTCTCAATTCATACAGGGCTAGTAGTACATACAGCTGTATATTAGGGCTGCACAATTAAATGAATTTCTAATCGCAATTACAATTATGGATGCCACAATTACGTAATCGTTCAAAGCGGCAATTAATCGTTCAAAGTCCACTTTAATCGTTCAAAGTCCACTTATGTTATTCTGCACGCTTAAGGTATGTTTTTTTCTTTCTACATGTTATCTTAAGGGTTTTTCCATTGTTTTAGTTTTAGTATAACATTATAAACATTCATATTTTTACTTTTTTTATAATTTAAAGAAGAAACCAATCCGATGTATATTTGACATTTGAGGCTTAATACTATAGAAAAGCACTAAAGGTTTTTCAGTGTTTTCAGCTTGCTTATTTTCATATAAAAATACGGCATGCAGTTGCATCAAACAATGGTATAAACATCATTCAATGTAAATTGTGTTAATCGTAATTAATAAATCGCAATTACAAATTCAAGAGAATAATTGACAATTATGATTTTTGTCATAATCGTGCAGCCCTACTGTATATACAGATACACACCCAGGTATCGGATCAGTACTCGGTATCGGCCAATACCCTGAGCCCAGGTATCGGAATTGGTATCGGGAAGGGAAAAAGGGTATCGGAACATCTCCAATCAAGATTCAGAATGAATGTTATATAGCAGCACAGTCTAGTATTAAACTGACCTTATTAAGATCAATAATATATGCATTTCTCATTAATTCACGTAAGCATAAAAGGGAGACGTAGGTAGCTTAAATAACGTCAAGCAATGCACGAAGCAATGCACATTATTTGTCAAATATCAAAGTATAAATACTCTGACCAAGTTCTCCCAGCAAGACATAGTCATCTGTGCATAAAATCTGAGTTTTTGTTGGCCTAAGGTTAGTACACATGCTCCTACATGTTGAGCTGCAGTGCTCATGCGGGCAGAAAGAAAGTTTGAGCCCAGCTCACTTCTTTTCCTGATCTTCTTCCCATTATTTCCCGTTTTTTTTCTATACCATATCTAGCAAAAACTTTAAAAAATGGCCTAAATATACTGTAGAAACAGTTCATTATAAACAGTCTTAATTTGCTCATTCCAATTGCTAATATTTATTGGTATACCATAGATCTGAATCCTAATAAAAAAAGGCAAAAACGCCAAAAATAAAATCTTTATATTATAAAATATTATTACAATCTAAACAACTGTTTATAATTTTAAAAATGTCATTTATTCCTGTGATAGCAAAGCTGAATTGTCAGTCGTTACTCCAGTCTTCAGTGTCACATGATCCTTCAGAAATCATTCTGATATGCTGATTTGATGCTCAAGAAACATTTCTTATTATTATCAATCTTGAAAACAGTTGTGCTGCTTTATATTTTCAAAAAAGTTCAAAAGGCATTTATTTGAAATAGAAATATTTTGTAATATTATGTCTTTACAGTCACTTGTTTTGATCAATTGAATGCTTTCTTACTAAATAAAGTATTCATTTCTTTCAAAAAAGAAAAACTTACTGAAACCAAATATTTGAGTGTATGTCCTGGATTTCCTTTTGTAAAAACTAAACCACAAACTGACTAGCAAGCACTAACTAAAGTGTAGCCTTTAGTTAAAAACAATTAGAATTTTGTTGCACAATGACTATGATACAGAGGAAATTAGTCTAAAATATTGGACATTATAATCAGAGTGCATTAAAAAGGATTCATTTACTCTGAAAATAGCTTTAAACAAGCACTAGCATTAATAATCTCAAATCTCAGTTTCCTCCGGCGTGTTATTTTTCAGTAATAGGTTGACGAAACAGAGGACTCGCGTGAAAATCTGGTTCACTAGGAAGAAGAAAAACAATCTTAAACCCCTATGGACTTCAGTATGACGCAAACAGCGTTTGCTCGTCAACAAAAGAACAATACCTGCACTAGAGTAAACCCTCACTCCCCTCATCCAGCTACACACCGGTGTTAATAGAGCCTGACAGATGTGCACAACCTGATCTCCAGTTCAACTATTATCCTTTTTTTCCCGCTTATGTGGCTTTTAGTTTTGGTTTACAGGAGCTGAGTGGTCTAAAAGGGGTCATATGATGCGATTTAAATTTTTCCTTTCTCTTTGGAGTGTTACAAGCTCTTGGTGCATAAAGAAGATCGTGTGTGTTTCATTTTGAAAGCGAAACTACTTTGTTTGGCCTTCCAAAAGAGGACGATATCCGCTTCGTCATGCCTGGAGCAACTTGGCGCTGTGGATCGCCGGATCGGCTTTCACCGTGGACAAAGCGTCGGGAGTCCAGCCCGGGGTCGCCACATGTGGTTGCCGCAAGCCCGCCCGAATCGAATCGAGAGCTTGCGAATCGAAATCGAATCGGGACATCTGAATCGATACCCAGCCCTATACAGTATGTGGAAAATAATGTGTTTTTTGAACCTTAAACCGCATAAACACATTTCATTACACCAAATACACAAAATAATGTTCTTTTTAGCAACATCATATGACCCCTTTAACACTGCCATATTTTCACCTCACGACATGATACGTCATTACCACTTATGAACTAAGATATTCAACTTAGAAACCTGGATGCTTCAATGTACACTACTGTTCAACAGTTTGGGGTCAGTAAGATAAAGAAATGAATACATTTATTCAGCAAAGATGCATTAAATTGATGAAAAGTGACTGCAAAGACTTCACATTGTCACAAAGATTTCTATGATCTTTTGAACTTCTATTAATCAAAAAATTCTGAATGTTTCCACAAAAATATTAAATAAGCAGTTTTCAAAATTGATAAGAAATGTTTCTTGTGCAGCAAATCTAAACTAATGATGCTGAAAATTCATCTTCACAGATATAAAATGAAAAAATAAATATATCATGTCTCCTCAAAAACCAGTACAAGTTGAAATATTATGTCCACCATAATATAAGTTCAAATCCTAGGCCTATATTCTAAGTATTAGCAATAGTGATATCTAAGGCACCTTTTTACGTAAGGAAAACAGATTTCTCCAGCTCAAAGTCTGGCTAGGTCAGAGCAAGAAGTATTAAACAGTCATGGTCCCTGTGGCGTCTGAGAAAGAAACATCTGCGAACGACTAACTAACATAAATTATTCATCAAGTTCATGTTGTTCCTCTCAATTATCAAGATTACGCCGCCAACGGTACGGTTAAATGATCATTGTTGCTTTCAGTATTGGCGAGGCAGTCTAACTGTTAAATTGCCTCGTTCTGATCCATGCTACTTTTCTCACGCTGTTTTCTACGTAACTGCAGAGGAGAACATTCAGATCAAAACCACAGAACGAACATCACTGTCTCACTGAGTAGGATGGGTCTCGATCACTTCCTCTTTCGGTTTTCAATGCCCTCAAAGCAGCACATGTCTCCAAAGGCCACACTGTTTTTCAGTTCTTACACTGAAAAAAAAAGATTTTCTGGTTTTATGATCCTTAAACCAAAATCAATTAACTTGAGAAGCAAAATTATATTTATAGCAAATATATATATATATATAGAATTAATTTGATAAATATTTTATATATTACCTTTTTTATGTTATTTATTATTTTACAGATATTATTATTTATATATTATAAAAACTTAACATTTTTATTTTTATTGGGTGTTTTTTATTTACAAATTTAATCAGGACATAAATTCTCTGTAAACGGTTTTATTACATTATGCAATTTTGCTTATAAGGTCCTTTTTTGTTTTAGTGATATTTTTACTGGAAGAAAAAGAGAGATTAAATGATTGTTTTGCAGTGCACTCCCTCTCAACCTACTTTGTCTGCAAGTTCATCATAAGTGCACTTATTAGCATCAATAACCTCATCATAGCGTCTGCATGGACTTTGACTCAGAGCAGACAAGTGTAGACGATAACTGAGCTGCGATTACTCATTGGCCAAGTCTGTGACAGTGCAAGAGGCGTTAGCGCAGTTTCACAAGCGCGCTATCAGCTTCATCAGTGTGGCCCTGGGCTGCAGTGTGACAGAAACAACACGGCGCACCTCCCTCCACACACACGCCGGGCAGACGTCTGGCTACCGTGCAGCTGAGAGGACGACTCTTCAATAACCAGAGAATGCCCTATGAACCAGAAAAGCACACCCACACCTGAAACCCAAGACAAAGTGAAAGCGAACTTACCTGCCCACAGCCAGGAGCATTGCACACAAAAGGCTTGTCGTCCCCCATCTTTACAAAGGCTTTGCAATATAACTGTGGAAGATAAGACGAGAACATTACTGAAGGGTTTTTCTAGAGGTTCAAGCCAGAAAAAGTTCTACAGCCAATCCCAGGGATGACTCTGCCTGGATCCTCGCTCAGCGCAGGAAGCAACGGGTGTTTAAAAATAACGAAGAACCGAGCACATGCATGTTAGTGTAGCGACTACAAGTTTCCCTGGTGATACTTCCTTTACACTGGGGGCATCTGGCAGAACAATGACACACGGAGTTCGGGATTTGCTCAAAGCAAAGTCTTTTTAGCCCCTCCTCTACTTTTCATTGTAGTCCTCCTGACACCATCTCCACAAAGCTCTTCTGCGGCGACGACTCTAGTGCCACTCTACACCTTTGTCTGCAGTCATTCTCTGAACTCCTCCACCCGATTCTCAGGCTCAAATATCAGCAACCCACACTCCCAGACGCTCATCACTTTTCACAGGAACTCAAGACATCTACACTGACATCAAGAGCTTGTGCTGATACTGTTTTGCCAGACGCCGGGAACCGATTTCCCTCGGAGATACGATCGATTGATTGTTTTCATCTAATTCAAGAGGGTGTAAAGAGGGCAAGTGTTGGAATTGAGGAACGGACAGTGCAATAATGGTAATTCTGGAGAGACATGTCTGGAATGAGCCGCTCTGATCCAGGGGAATAGCATGCGTGTGTATTGGCTTGTCGTAGACACTCCCTCTTTTCCTATTAGCCGAACCACTGCAGTTATTCCAGACAAACTGCCAGCACCTTCCACACAAACACACACATGCTCGACATTACTCTGGAATCAAACTAAACGAATGCTTCCCTGGACTCTGATGGATCCATGAGATATTCAGAAAAGGGCTGGGCAGCTAAAACTTACATACAGGGTTGTCCACAATTTGGACCAATTATTTTTTAATGACTTTTCCAGTTGTCCGTGATTACGGGACTTAAAAGTTGACACAAAATGAAAATCTACTTTCTTTTCTTAATTCTTCATCATGTTTAATTAAAATGTCATAACTGGACCTTCTGGTGAAAACAGACATCTCTCTGGTGACGTACAGTATGCAGGACTTCTCCAATTTTTTATATATTTTATTTTACCTAAATCCTTTCAAATTTCTTTTTCAATAATTCACTCAGTTGTGTGTCACAATATGAAAGAAAAGATCTATCACAAGTGTTTTGGTTTAATTAGTAAAAAAGAAAACAAAAAAAATCTGTTTGATAATTAAGACGTTTTCACTAAATAAACACAATAAAAGAATTATATGTAATAATTTTAATTTAAATGCACCAACATAATATATAGCAATAAACCGCAATGCATATATATAATATGCATATTTACCAATGCATAGTCATATATTTAGTAAAAAAATGCAACAAGGAGGCATTTAAAACCTTTTTAAAGGGATAGTTCACCCAAAAAAGAAAATTCTGTCATTAATTACCCTCATGTTGTTCCAAATCTGTAGGACTTTCGTTCATCTTCAGAACACAAATTAAGATATTTTTGATTAAATCTGAGAGCTTTCTGACCCTGCATAGACAGCAACGCAAGGCCCAGAATGGTACTGTAGTAAGGAAGGACATCATTAAAATAGTCCATGTGATATCAGTGATTCAACCTTAATTTTACGAAGCTACGAGAATACTTTTTGTGCACAAAGAAAACAAAAATAACGACTTTATTCAACAAATTCTTCTTTGCGCCTTGAACGTGTCAGTTATGTTGCTGTCTATGCAGGGTCAGAAAGCTCTCGGATTTAATCAAAAATATCTTAATTTGTGTTCTGAAGATGAACGAAAGTCCTACAGATTTGGAACAACATGAGGGTAATTAATGACAGAATTTTCTTTTTTGGGTGAACTATCCCTTTAAAGGCACTAAATAAACACAATAAAAGAATTATATGTAATAATTTTAATTTAAATGCACCAACATAATATATAGCAATAAACCGCAATGCATATATATAATATGCATATTTACCAATGCATAGTCATATATTTAGTAAAAAAATGCAACAAGGAGGCATTTAAAACCTTTTTAAAGGGATAGTTCACCCAAAAAAGAAAATTCTGTCATTAATTACCCTCATGTTGTTCCAAATCTGTAGGACTTTCGTTCATCTTCAGAACACAAATTAAGATATTTTTGATTAAATCTGAGAGCTTTCTGACCCTGCATAGACAGCAACGCAAGGCCCAGAATGGTACTGTAGTAAGGAAGGACATCATTAAAATAGTCCATGTGATATCAGTGATTCAACCTTAATTTTACGAAGCTACGAGAATACTTTTTGTGCACAAAGAAAACAAAAATAACGACTTTATTCAACAAATTCTTCTTTGCGCCTTGAACGTGTCAGTTATGTTGCTGTCTATGCAGGGTCAGAAAGCTCTCGGATTTAATCAAAAATATCTTAATTTGTGTTCTGAAGATGAACGAAGGTCTTATGGGGTTTGGAACGACATGAGGGTGAGTAATTAATGACAGAATTTTCATTTTTGGGTGAAATATCCCTTTAAGTGAAGCAAATTAATCGCTGAATCAAGTCATCATTTATATAAAGGTTTCAACTTATCCTTCTTAGAAAAGATTGCAAAACTACTCAAATGTCAAGGTCCTCAGGACGTATTGGTCAAATAATGGGCATTAAAGATCATAACGGTGCATAGTTTTATACTGACAGAAAAATCACAAGTATTCTGTAATAATCAATATATTGCCTAGCTCTAGTTTCAAATGTGTTCATGTACTACACACTTATGTTTAGTATCCATTATATACGCGTTTTAGATTTAGTTGTGGTGGCCTTCAGCAAGTTTGACTGGGCTGACTGAATTTGTCATCTGTCTTCACAGCAGTTCACCTCAATCTAGGGATGTAACGGTATGAAAATTTCATATCACGATTATAGTGACCAAAGTTATCACGGTTATCAATATTATCACGGTTTTGTTAAATTTAGATGAAAATGTTCAAAAAGAACTGATACACACACTGAAAACATTTCAATAAGTTTTATATTTGAAAATCAACAAACAACAAATACAATTAGCAGCTATATGCACTTTTTTAGCATAAACAAGGGAGTTTCAAACGCTTATACGAGACAGTAATGCCCTGCACCCTTCAAAGAACACACTTCAAGGGCTCTGCCCTTCGAAGGGAGTAGGGCATAGGGATGCTCACTTCTGTTTGGAATTCGCCCCATGTCTCTTGTATCACCGCAGTGGCGCGGACGCGCTCTCTCGTTTCATTCAAATGCAGCTTGCCGTCTTGCGTCTCAGTTTTTGATTGTATTGAAAGTGAAATCAGAGGAATTTAGTATTAATACTACTATAATTTTGCTGTAGTGATCATATTGTCCTGACGATTGTTTTGTACACTGTTCATAATGGATTTATAAACAGGTAAGATTTCAAAACATTAATCTCAATTCAATATTTCATATCCCCGTATTTATATATTATTATAGGTAAACAAAAAAAATCTGTGTAATAAGTTAAGTATGAATATACAATACATTATCCCTTAAATGTCAACCTTATAGTTTGAACGTTCGTTCGTCTTGGCTCAAAGCCACTTGCTGCAAACTTTTCTTTGCGGAAGCTTTGTGTTAATTACAAGTGAGATAACGAAATATTTAATCTCTAATCAATATTTTTTGTCCAATTATTTGCCCAGTTAGTTTTGGTATTGAGGTAAAAGTTACCTTGCATTCGCTAACAGTGGGTGGTGGTCACGAAGATGACTGAGCAAATTTGATCGTTTCCCCTTTTTGCAGCGACTTTCTTCTTGCAAGATCAGCAGACAGGGTGACCGTCCTCGATTAAATTGCCTTCAGGACTCTTGTAAAAGCCAAAATACGACCAGACCACCGATTTGGTTCTCTTAGATGGCTGAAAAATCTCCCGAGCGCTGTCACTGCCTTCCGCCATTTCGTCTCGTGCAAAAAACAACAACAACAACATTGCATGCTGCTTCTGCGTCAGACTGATGCTGGCTGGACAGGATTTACCGCGAGTTTTCAAAAGCGCGATAATCAAATACGGTTTTGATGATAATTAAATTTTAAACGATAATACTAACCGTCAGGGCATTTTATCGTGATTTATCGTGAAACCGGTAATCGTTCCATCCCTACCTCAATCTACACTCTCACTCCTTTAAACCCAACGCTCCACGCATAGAGAGGCTGGGAATTTTGGAAAAAGTAACACATTCATTAAATTTAAATGGAGGGAAGTTTCATTAAACTTTCAACATGCCCCACCAGCTCAGAATGACGTCTGGGGAGTTACACAACCACCACCGCAAACAAAAGGTGAAGAATGAACCAAACATCTTCCTTGCCTATAACAACAGGGATTTAAATGGATAAAGCTTGCATGTGTCATCTGTAAAAATTTAAAAAGCCATTTAGACTTGCAGGTCTGCAGGCTGAGATGCTGCTAATTTATGTAACATTAGTGCTGTAAAGTTACAGCAAACATAAGCAACTGCTCTCAAAGTGCAAATAGAATAGAAATACACAAAAATGCACATATTTTAAAAAACAATTATTTGGTGGGTTGTCTGAACAACTAGTTGACTAATCAATGTGTATTTACCTATCTTGCACTCATATGGACATGCTGTTTAGGGGACCTTTACAAAAAAAAAAAAACACTTCATTAAAGGGATAATTTACCCAAAAATGAAAATTCTGTCATTAATTACTCACACTCAAGTCATTCCAAACCCATAAGACCTTCGTTCATCTTCAGAACACAAATTAAGTTGTGGTACTTGTGAATGTGCATTTAAGACTGACATGGAAGAGAAGAAATTGCTGAATAAAGTAATTATTTTAGTTTTCTTTGCGCACAAAAAATATTCTCGTAGCTTCATAAAATTAAGGTTGAACCACTGATGTAACACGGACAATTTTAACAATGTCCTTACTACCTTTCTGGGCCTTGAACGTGGTAGTTGCTTTGCTGTCTATGCAGGGT